GGGGGATTGCTGGATGGTCAGGTGCTGGGGTGAGCGGCGAGGGGTTCGGGGTCGAGGGGGACTGGAGTGAGGGGTGAGTGGGACAGGGGTGATGGATGGTGAGGGAGGGCCAAGGTTGAGGATGCAGGGCAGGTGCGGGCACCCTGGGTGGACAGGGACCTGGCCGGTGGGACAAGGCCCGAGCATGCTTAAGGGCCCAGGTGCGCTCCTTTCCCGCGCATGCGCCCCACACCTGCCCAGGCCCGCACCTGCAGGAAGGTGCTCTTCCTGAGCTCCGCGCACGTGATGCGTCCCGACCAGGACCGGTTCACGGTGTAGAATATCCGCTGGATGACCTGCAGGGACAACAGGCTGCCTGACGGGGGTGCAGGCCGCGTGTGCAGGGCCCGAGTGGACAGTGGAGGGAGCCCCCACCATCGCGGGGTGCAGGGTGTGCTTGGACAGGGGAGGCCGGGGCGATAGTGGCATCACTGAGCGGGAGGACACAGCCCTTTCTGAGCAGAACCGGCCACAACAGGACCCACACCCAGGACTCGGTGTCCCACTGACCCCGGGGACCTGGGCTACGGACAGGACCTCGGACAGTACACGGGGAGGAGGGGTCTCGCCGGACAGTGGGGCGGCGGTGGGGGAGGCCTCACCCACACACGGGTACTGACCAGCTGTGTCCACGGCTGACCAGGCGCAGGGACTCACCGTGGTGATGTACCGTGAGTGGAACTCGGACGCCTCCTTGAGGAAGGACAGGCCAGGGTGCGTGTTCACCACGTCCTGCTCGGAGGGAGGATGTGGACACGTCTGTCCAGGGCGTGGGTGGACAGACACGTGCCCAGAGATCCATATACGTCCCGGTCTCCCGCGGATGGACACAGCCCAAGACCCGGCCATGGGGAGTGCACGTGATGGGCACACGTGTACCAAGAACCGTCCTACTGACCATCCATCCATCCAGGACGCACATGGGCTGACAGACATCAACAGGACCCGTCTGTCCGCGGCCACTCCATAACACCCCTGCCTGGCCTTGTCGGTCCTGGGGGACCCATCTGTGGGCACCCCACAGCATCCGTCTGGCTTTCTCAGTCCTGGGGGCCCTGTCTGACTGCGCACCCCACAACACCCCTGTCTGGCCTTGTTGATTGTGTGCACTGACCTCCCCTGCCCCCCGTGCGTCCTGAGGGCTGAGGTGACCCCCTGCAGACGTGACCACCACCTGCCAACTCTAACTCGGTGTGACACCAAGAGAAATTGCAAGGTACCCGCCGCCCTTGGCAAAGGGGCCCTGAAGCCCCGCTGTTCTGAGCACTGGGTTGCTAACCAAATGGTCGCTGGTTCGAACTCTCCATCTGCTCTGAGGGAGAACGTGGAGGCAGTTTGCTTTGGGGAAACTACACGGTGGTCCTGGTCTGTCCCTGTGAGATTGTGAGGGAACATGGGGTCCGTTCACCCTCTACAAAAGAGGAAACCTTACACCGTCAGGGGGTCAAACCCACATCCACGCATGGGAGGAAGTGAAACCCGGGTGCTTCTGTAAAAATCTGCATCCTCGGAAACCCTACAGGGTCCTGGGAGTCAGAATCAAACTCCCAACAACTAGTTACAATGTATCTCTGCCTTCACCACTCTTATTAGAGACATCCTTCCTCCTATACTAGTTACACACAGAGACTACTAGAGAGATACTATGTATCTAGACGCTCAGGAGCCCTGCTGGCACAGGGGGGACACACTCAGCTGTCACCACAAGGTCAGGGGTTTGAACCCACCAGCCGCTCCGAGGGAGAAAGTTGAGGCCGTATGCTTCTGTAGAGACTCACGGCCTCGGAGACCCCAAGGGGCAGCTCTGCTCTGTCTTACGGGGTCCCCACGAGACATTAGATGCTTGTCCGCAGCAGTGGGGTGATGTCTACACACGCGCCCCCCTCCGACCTAGTGCCCGGTTTCAAGGGCTGTGCTCCCGGACTCTCCCTACGAGGGTCACCTGTAGGAAGGACGGCGCCCACGGCCCCCACGTTACCTGGAGAAAAGGCACGAAATCCTCCTGCACGAGGTAGTTGCTCCCGGGGCTCATGAGCAGGTGCACGAACCTGGCTGCGTCGTCGTGACAGTTCTGCAGGATCCTGGGAAGGCGGAGACTGTTGGGCTCCGCCCCCTGTGCACAAGCCCCGCCCCTTCCTACT